TGATTAAATTTGTTTAATCAAGTTATTTGGCCTAATTAATTAAATTGTTTAATTAAGTTATTGAGCCTAATTGATTAAATTAAATAATTAAGTTAATTAGGCTTCTTAAGGACTTAATTAAATTGTTTATTCAAATTATTAGATTAATATGCAATTACAAAATAGTTTTGTATTTAGGGTTTAAACTTAATCCAAGGTCTAAATACCTTACTATAGCCTCGAAACAAAATAAGAGAGAAAATGTTGAAAAAGAAAGGAACGGTAGAGTAGAAACTCTTTTTCTTGCCGTTCCTTGTGTGAAGAAAAACAGTTTTCATTCACTTGATTCCTTTTTAGTCCCATAATTTTGTGTGAATTGTGAGTTTATGAAACTCATGTTTGCTAGCACATTGTTGAGGCATAGCACTTCCAATCCTTAAAGAAGGATTTTCTAATTCATTAGTGTGGATCACCATTAGAGGTTGCACAAGAATTCTTTAGACAGCTTTGGTTTGCAACAATCGGGCTGAGAAGGTTGAGCTCTTTGAAAGCAAATCAGTGGTTTAACAAAAAGATTCATCAACCTTTGTTATTAAGGTAAATTTGATATGATTATACATATATATTTTATTTGTAATTTAATTTCATACTCAATTTGACATGAAAGAGATCATAGGAAGGCGAGACATAATTAATCTTAAATTTATTTTCGTTGCATTTATTTGTATTTGATGCATGATCAACCCTCACCCAACAATAACACCCTAATTTTATCTAAAAAATTAAAAATAAAAACAAACTAAAGACTAAAATTAATGTAAATTAACTAGCAAAATTACTTTTCTAAACTTGATTGACTTTTAAACCTAAGATTATGATGTCTCTCAATACTTCATCTAATTATTGTCTCTTTCTTTCTTAACTTAGCTTAATGGATTAAGTTGCTAAGCTAGAGTTCTAAATTATTTACAAGTCTTTGTTGAGTTTCTCATAAAAATATGTTTTTTAATTAATTAACTATATATCTATGTAAATTAGATTAAAGACAAATTCATTAAGTTCGTACTATAATACTAGCTTGTAATAGACAACAACAATAGAAATAAAAATTCCTCAATAATGCGCACTGCACTTTAGTTTCACTACTTCTCAATCATGAAATCTGCTTAGTCAAGAGCAAAACCACTAGTCAGCAATCCAAAGAAGCCACAAGTGATAACCATGGGGCATTGTTGCTTCGCAAAGCAGTAGTACCCCACCCCACATGCACAAGACAACTCACAACAACATCAAACCCACCGAAATGTATACATAGACGAAAATGTTTAGGAATAAAGGTATAGGAAACGTAAATATATAGGAATAAAGGTAAAAATTCATACATATTGACCTATTAATTTTCTTTTAAAAAACAAACAATGTTTAATTTTTATATTTTAAAATAAAATTTAATATAAATAAATTTGTCTTTCTTTTGTTTTTTGTTTTTGACTTTGTATAAATTCCATGTTTAATTGCAAGAATATAATTTCAACATTATACTTTGTTCCTATTCCTTGTAATATGTTGCAGCATATTCAATTCAAAACAAAAAACTTTAAATGTTAATTTTACTTATAATTATATAATTATGATGTTGAGGATAAATGTTATTATACTTTTTACTTTTAAATTATAGTTTAACATTTATATATTTGAAAATAATAAGTTGAACCTAATTAAAGTAATAATACTAATGTTAAAAATAATAATATTTGCACATTTAAACATAAAAAATAGATTAAAAATAAAAATTACATAGCATTTAATATAAAATGAATAAAGTTATATAGTACACATATTATTTATCTGTTTTCCTGTATAACAGAATTTTGTTATATAAATGTATTGTTTGCCCGTTACTGGGATTAGTTGTTTTCCCTCCACTACCCTGATTTGGAATCCCCGCATTCAACATTGGTAGTTGAAAGAGGAATGGGACGGCATCGCCAGGCCTAGTCGTTTGAGTAATGGCCATGCCTACCAACACTATCATTAATGATTGGTGGTTGACTGTGTTAGTAATTGGGCGGCTTGATTGCCTCCCTCATTAAGTCCAAACGTATGCTTGCATGTGTTTGGCTTCTTCATTACTTGGGTTTGGAGCTAATTATCACCTATACTATGTTAAGGTTTGATATGAAAAAAATGAAAGCACATTATTATAATGTATTTAATTAAATTATATTATAATATTTATATTTAAATATTTAATTTATTAATTGATATATAATTTTTTACTTAAAAATTAGAGTTTAATTTTTTTTAAATTAAAAAAAATACATTATAATATTTGTTTTACAATAAATCAATATAATTTAAGATTACAACACAATCACATTAATTAATGGATGTAATATGATTATAGTGATTGTAATCCAAAGTCAATGCAGTTGGATTAAATTGCACTCTGTAATGTTATTAAAGATATTTCTATCTTTTAATTTTGTTAAAAATAATTTACAAAATTATAAGTTTTTTATATATCAATTTCGGAGGATGCCTCTTTGTTACTCTCAATAGCCATTTTTCTGGGAGATAATGAATTGTGAGTGTCAATAAAATTTATATTATTTTAAAAAATATATATATAATATAATAAATTATATTAAAAAATTAAAATAAAATATATAATATTAAAAATATAGTTAAGAGATGATATTATATAAATATTTATAATAAAAAATATAAGTATATTAAATTTATATTTTACCAAATAAAGATACTTTTAAAAATTGAGAGGGAGTGATATTCTTGTTTGCATTTGATTATCTGTCACCTATCACATTCTTCATAGTAGCATAGTAAATGCGTCTGTGATATCTATATAATATTTCAAAATGTACAATGTTAATTTCATTTAACAAATTAAAAAAAAAAGTTGAATTCCCACATTAATTACATATTTTGACAGGCCAAAAGAAATAGTAGATAGAGTAGGAATGGATTTTGAAGAGGTATAAAGTATTGCTCAACTGCCATCTAACTATCATTAGACATGAATAAATATTGAGCTGTCTGTTAAGTTTAATGTGGGTCAGTTCTCCCATTAAATGCCTCAACCAACACCCACCAGTACCAATTTAATGGATTAACAAAAAGGAGGTGACATTCGAGCCAGTTTTCCTTTGCTTTCTCTTGAGTTTCATCATTCACTTCCTCTTTTGCTGAAGTATCTGATTGCAGAGAGAGGGGCTCTTGGAGAAGAAACTAGTTCTGATTCGTTGCTTATCAGCTCCGTCACACACCCAAAATTAAGTCAACTAGTCAAGGAGATGGGTGGAAGTAGGCTTCTTTTGCATGCCCTTCTCATAACCTAACAAATACCCTTCAACAGCTTTGGCACACTTACATTTCACGCTTCATCTCATCGCCCTCTCTCCATACGAATCTCATTTCTTCACGAACTTTGCTCATATAATTAACAGAGGCTTACTAGTTCTCTTCATAGTGCTTTGTTCATTTCTTCAACGTTCTTATAATTATATAAATATTCTATCTCGCATAAGTTGAATATTGATTAGCAGTGGCTAGCTGATCATCTCGATGAGTAACTCCGCAAGCAATGTTATGATGGAGATAGAGGCCAATAAACCAGCAGGGAACGGGATGGTGGTAGGAGGTTTGAGTCCTCTGAGTGAGACATTGTGGAGAGAGAAGACCAACACGGAGTTTGTCGGAGATGTGTCTGCAAGGCTCACCTGGAAGGATCTGACCGTAATGGTAACTCTCAGCAATGGAGAGACGCAGAAGGTGTTGGAAGGACTAACCGGTTATGCTGAGCCTGGCACTCTCACCGCTCTCATGGGTCCTTCAGGCTCTGGAAAATCCACGCTTCTTGATGCTCTCTCCAGTCGCTTGGCTGCTAACGCTTTCCTCTCAGGAGCCATTCTTCTCAATGGTCGCAAGACCAAGCTTTCTTTCGGGACGGCAGTGAGTACTTACGTTGTTCTAGTCTTTAATTTATCTCTTGAATCCTGATTTCCCAACCACAAGGCTGCTACGGCCTTACCTTACCCATCTTATTTGTGTTCTGAACCAATGAATCAGGCCTATGTAACTCAAGATGACAACTTGATTGGTACACTGACTGTTAGGGAAACAATTTCCTACTCAGCTCGACTTCGTCTCCCTGATAAGATGCCTTGGTCTGAGAAGCGCGCACTGGTTGAAAGTACAATTATAGAGATGGGTCTGCAAGATTGCGCTGATACGGTAATTGGGAATTGGCATTTGCGTGGGATCAGCGGAGGAGAGAAGAGGAGGGTCAGCATAGCTCTTGAAATTTTGATGAGGCCCAGACTGCTCTTTCTTGATGAGCCCACCAGTGGACTTGATAGGTTTGTCTCTGTCATCCTCGATATTTTTCTATATCAATTTCCTAATAACTGCTACTCTCGCTGGGGGCATAGACATAACCTATTCGTTTAAATCTCTTTACTTTTATTGTCTTGCGGCCTAACGGTTAGTTGTAAACTGTTCTTGTTTTTACATGCTTTTGGTTTTTAATGTTCAATCTTTCATTTCATTACTTTTTTTTGTCCAAAATTTTCCTTTCTTTTTGTTGTTTACTGGATTGGCTTGGTATACAACCTCAATTCCCCAATTTCCGGTGAGATAAGATTGTGTTATTGATTTTCTCAATCAAAGAACATTATGAAAGTGTTGCTCCTCAAATATATGGTATGGATGCTAAAGACTTCACCAGTTAAGCCATTATATTGGCACCTTTCCCACTTTTCTCCCTTTTATAAACGCGGTTATACAGCCTTAAAATTGTACCTGATTAATCTTTATTCTTGCGTAGTCTACAACAGTGATAAGGAAATGGTTCAGCTGTTTTCTTATTAATTCGCACATATAATGTTGAAACTTCTTGTTATCCCTGCAATAGTTTCTTAGTTTAGATTCATGGCAGTGCTTCGGCGTTTTTCGTAACCCAGACTTTACGTGGCCTGTCAAGAGATGGTAGGACTGTAATAGCTTCAGTCCATCAGCCCAGCAGTGAAGTTTTTGAGCTATTTGATCAGTTGTATTTGCTTTCTGGCGGCAAAACTGTTTATTTTGGTCAGGCTTCTGAAGCATATGAGGCAAGAGCTCTCAATCTTTCCTATCGCTTGACAAGATTTGGATATTCATTTACATAATGTTTCTTGGATTGTGGGTGCAGTTCTTTGCGCAAGCTGGATTTCCATGCCCTGCCTTGAGAAATCCATCTGATCATTTTCTTAGATGCATCAATTCTGACTTTGATAAGGTTAAGGCTACTCTGAAAGGGTCCATGAAATTACGGGTAGCAACTTTCATTTCCCTTTGTTTAGTATTCCTTCCTACTTTGGTACAGTACATATGGCTGAAAATCGATGGCGTTTCTTTTCTTTTCTTTTTTTTTTATTTTCCAATCTCTGAATCCTACTTTCTCTACTAGGGCCTTTAGACTTATTAATTCTTAACATGGAATGCCTTATTTATTTCCGAATTACTTATAATCAGTTTGAGGCAAGTGATGATCCCCTGGACAAGATAACCACTGCTGAAGCGATCCGAACTCTTCTTGACTTCTACCATACATCTCAGCAATGTTATACCGCAAAGGAAAGGGTTAATGAGATATCGAAAGTTGTAAGTACTTAACCAGGCAACATTGTTGCTGTTTATTATTTTCACAACCTTATTTGTGCTTCTGGCCACAGTTAACAATCTTCTTGTTAAAGATAATCTCAATGCTCTTTGAATTGTCTTCTGTTGGCCTTTATCATCAAGAGTGGCAGTTGAATTCTTCTGCTATATGTTTCAGAAAGGAACTGTGCTAGATTCTGGAGGCAGTCAAGCTAGTTTCCTGATGCAGTCTTATACTTTAACCAAGCGTTCATTCATCAACATGTCTAGAGACTTTGGCTATTATTGGCTGAGGCTGCTAATTTATATTGTCGTCACTATCTGCATTGGAACCATTTATCTCGATGTTGGAACGGGCTACAACTCAATTCTGGTACCGTTGTTACTTACCCCATAGAACTTTGCTGAATCACTTGTTTGGACTGCTAAGTGCTAATAGAATAAAAATTTTAAGATAATATGGAAAAGAATTTGCTAGTTCACAAATTATGTGAAACAATATGGAGAAAAATTTATGTTCATTTATCTTCAGTCAAATACGTTGGAAGAGTTATTTAAGATTTTAAATCTTGTGCAACAACAGGCAAGGGGTTCATGTGCATCTTTCGTCTTTGGTTTTGTCACATTCATGTCAATTGGTGGGTTCCCTTCCTTTGTAGAGGACATGAAGGTAAGTCATGACCATGAAATGCTGGTTAGCAAATAAAGTTACCAGCCATGGCGGCTCCAACATTTTGACGGACTAATTTTTGCAGGTTTTCCAAAGGGAGAGGTTAAACGGGCATTACGGTGTAACTGCATTTGTCATAGGGAATACGCTCTCAGCCATGCCATTCCTGATTATGATCACCTTCATCTCTGGAACTGTTTGCTACTTTATGGTTCGTCTTCACCCGGGCTTTGAACATTATTTATTCTTCGTATTGTGCCTTTACGCAAGTGTTACTGTGGTTGAGAGCTTGATGATGGCCATAGCGAGCATCGTCCCCAATTTCCTCATGGGTATCATCATAGGAGCTGGGATTCAGGTCTAAGTCCCTTCAGCATATTCTGCATTCTTATGATTAAAACTTATATACTTTTTATATCATTGGTTAGCTTTAAACTGGGCTTTCACTCTCTTAGAATTCTAATTAGGATAGGTGTGCACCCTAGCTAGCTCCATTTTGATTGATAAAAACAGCTAACAAATTAGTTGTCTTTCTTCCAGGGAATATTCATGCTTGTTTCTGGATACTTCAGGCTCCCCAACGACATCCCAAAACCTGTCTGGCGTTACCCAATGTCCTACATCAGCTTCCACTTCTGGGCTCTACAGGTGATGAAATAGCAAATAAAATTGTTACAGTTTAATCACAGGTGGATGAAAAATGATGCCATAATTGACTCACCAAGGACTGAAACACGGGACATTTACGTTTCAGGGACAATACCAAAATGATCTGAAGGGCTTGTTGTTCGACAATCAATCACCAGAGCTTCCCAAGATTCCTGGAGAATACATCCTGGAAAACGTGTTCCAAATTGATGTTGGACGCTCAAAATGGATAGATCTCAGCGTGATCTTCAGCATGATCTTCATTTACCGCATCATCTTCTTCTTCATGATAAAGATAAGTGAGGATGTTACCCCTTGGATCAGAGGTTTGATAGCCAGGAGAAGAATGCAACAGAAGAATGGAACACAAAATACGACCGTTGCGCCTGACGGCCTCACCCAGTCTCCTTCTTTGAGGGCCTACGCGGCAAATCGAGCAACTCGAACGGGTAAAAGATGGACTACGGGTCTCCATGCAAGAGATCTCACAAAAAATTGATGGGATCACCTTTGTGTCCTCAGATACACTCATCCAGTCGTTTTAACGTCTTAACCTTACGCTGCCCTTTATTATTTTAATTTATTATTATTATTATTTTAAAAAACATATGCTTTAAATATATATACCTTTGAAGTTAATATATACAGACAATGGCATGGTACATATTCACCAGAAGGAACTAAGGAAGATCATCAACACAAGCTACGTGCTAACATTACATTGCCGATGGCACGACAATAAGTAAACCAAGCCATCTCTTCGGGAGTTTAGAAATCAAATTAAGACTTAAGGTTTCATGTTTTGCAATATGAGTATCAATGGATCGTATAATTTTGTGTTTGAAATCACCCAATAAGCTACTTGATATATGTTTTTTTGAGACAAATCAATAAATCTTTTTTAGTTATATATCCCTTAAAATCTTAGGAGTACATAATTTGTTTCACCTATGTTCTTTGTCTTAAAGTTTGCAGACAATCACTTTTTAATGGTGACAATTATCACCTTATCATTGTGAGCAACTAGTAAGTCATCAACGGATAATGACAAGACGATGAAATTTCTTTCGAATTGTACGACATACATGCGATGGTCTTTTTCAATTATCACAAGCTCATTACAAATAGCAACATGATAGAATCTAAGATGTCATTGCCTAGATGATTGCTTTAAGTCATAGATAGATGATTTGAGCTTGCAAACATTCTTAACCTTTTGCCACAAAACCATCAAGTTGATCCATATAAATATATCTTCATCCATTATCTGTTGAGAGATGTTGTTTTAATAACCATTTAGTAAGTTCCAAGTCTAAATTAGCAACTGCGACTAGAATCAAGCGAAGCTCATTGCGGTGAAACGATTTTCTCATAATCATTGTGTTTATCATTTCACTATTAGGTGAATCTTATATCTCCCAATAGAACCATCCGCCTTGGGTTTTACTTTTAAGACTCATTTGTTCTCAATAGTCTTACGCCTTGGTGGAAGGTCAACCAAGTCTTAAAGATGGTTGGTTCTCATAGATTTCATTTCATCATTCATTGCATTATTCTACTCTAATGTACTTCATTTCATCACTCATTGCATTATTCTACTTTTACGCAACAAGAAATGATAAAACTCTTGAATAGTTCATGGATTAGCTTCATCTTATGCAGCAATCATGAGTTTTCCCCTCAATCTCAAGCATACTTGCATGTTTTTTTCTATGCATCTTAGCTTAGCTTAAGGATTCTAATACATTAAAATAGATGAACTTGATGGTGAGTCACTCTCAACGACCACAAAATTTTAAAAAATTTCTTCCATACTCTCAATTAAACTACTTGGTACGCTATTGTCGAATTTACCAGGCAATTGTATGTATCATTAACAACTAATATAATGAAAAATAAAGTTCATTTTTGTCACAACATTTCTTGAAAGAATCATGACCAACGTATGAACCTAGACTAGTACAACCCGCTAGGCCCAAGCAAACCTCTTAATCACAATCAATTATCAATCACATACAAGCATAGATAAACGTAAACATAAGCATCTATGCATAGGCATAAATATACGATTATGGGCTTCTCAATATAAAAGGTGTAAACTTTCTTATTCATAAAATATGTACCCAATACAATTAGCATAAAATCTGTAAAGGCAACCTAAATGTTCATACAAGCTCGCAGGCCATCATTCACAATATTCACATAATCCCATGAAAATAACTTATCATTCCTTGGCTCAACAATCATAATATTCGCATATTATCATAAATGTAACTAGCCACATAATGGCTTAACATTCTAGTACAAACAATTATTTATAAACAAAATAAAAGACTGACTCATTAGGAAACATGACTCGACTTGCTATGCATCAAAAGGTTGCTAGACATCTACCAATGAAGTATTAACAGATCATGTGTCCGTGACACTAGCTACTAGCAAGAGGGCATTATCACTGATCTGTAATAAAAATAAATAAGAAAAATAACGTGTGACTCACAAAGACTGTATGAGTGGATATGGTAAGGGGACAAGCTAAGGGATTAGAGTATTTCGTAAACGTGCAATATTAAACACGTATGAGTCATAAATCTTCCCTCATTACTATAATAATTATGAAACATAATAGATAAACATCATTCACGAAGTATTACATGAAAAACAACTTTGAATAAGCCTTTGGAAATCATTTAACTTTGAAATTCTCATCAAATTTGTTCAAATAATCTTTTTTGCAATAAAGCTATCGATACATTCAAGAATGTATTGATACCTTTTAAAAATCTATCGATACTTTAGTGAAATGTTTGTTGATACCTTTTAAAAATCTATCTATACTTTAGTGAAATGTGTTGATACATTTCACATAGAAAGCTTCTTAAAGCATTTTGAAGCATTTTGTTTAGAATTCATCGATACATACTCCATATGTATCAATACTAGAACTCAAAATCTCAAATTTTTGGGCAAATTTCTCCCTTTCTGCTAACTTTAAGTCCTCTTACATCTTGGGATTAATTATAAGGTTGATTCTGTTTAACCAATCCTACATTCATGCCATAGTAGGTAAACATCATGATCAATACTCAACTAACATAACATACAAACAATCTTAACAAGGTTACAAAATTGTTAACCATAAATCATTAATTCATACAATGTGATGATTAGACCCCTATCAACCTTGGGCTGGAATGTTTAATCCTATTACACCTTGGGCATTTATGATGCATCATGAGAGTAGAGTCGTCACTTGTTGTCAAATTTTCACATAAGTGCACGTTATCTCATACAGGTATTATCATAGAAGTAGAGTATCGTTACCACAGAGATTTGTTCCTAAATTTTTATTAAGTACTAAAATTTTATAACAAATCAAATCTTATTTAAGTAACTAAAAATTGTAAAAAATTAATGAAAATGAAATAAAAATAAACACTATATTAACTAGCAAAAATTAAATATATTTAAGAAAGACAAGAGATTAAAGACTTAGGATTATGGGTTTATCCAACACCTTATATGATATCAGCTTCTCTTATTATTTACCTTTCTTAGGTAATTTTACTAACCTAAAATCCAAAACTATGTACAAGTCTCCATCGAGATGGTTGCCCACATAGCTAACTTAATTAATTCACTATATGTCTATAGGAATCAATTAAATTAAGTTCATTAAGCTAGTGTCATAATTTGGTTATGTATGACAATTGACGTATATCTATTCGAATCATGAATCAGATCACCTAAGTGACGTGAACATGTACTATTCAAATCTTACTCTAATTTGAAATCTCTCTTTCTAGTTTCAATTTGATTCACAAATCAATTAATTGTTGATGAAGCAATTAAAAGCATTTGAACATATTTGAATGAGCAAAACTATACCCATTCATGATACATAAAAGAGAAACTAATATTCAAACTACATATTGAAATCCACCGTAATCCTAGAAAAGTAAATTAGTTCATGTTATCTAAATAAAACAATATCCAAAGAAATTTAACCATGAGTTCAAACAAAGAAAATAAGTATAACGCCAAAGAGAGAAATAAACTAATGTTGAATCTTTGTTGATCTCGAATCACTCTCAATTGCTCTTGTTCTCTTGCTAGATCCCTAATTCCAATTCTCCAAAAAAACTGCTACCATCTTTTCTCTTGAATGCTCTAAAAAAGTCCTTTAAATATGTGTAAACACCCTAATTTCCAAATTTCAATAAAATGTTTTATTTTTGGAAACCAATATGGCGCCACGGCCATGATTTCTTGGTGTCGCGGCACTGTGGCTACCATTTGTGGCATCGCAACGCTACTTCTTCAATGTTGCGGTGTTTTGGCTTCAAGAGTTTGTATAATACACCTCAACAATCCAACAATGCAGCCTTGATCTTCATAGCGTGTGGCCTCAACTCCTTAAGTGCTGTAGCCATAATCTTCCTAACATTGCTGCCTAAACTCCATTAATGCCACAGCCATGAGTAACTCAAGGCTGGGACCTCCAATCAACATGTTGTAAAGAACTGCAAATGTCCATTTTATGTTCTTCCTTGTAGCTATTAAATGCATTAAGGCATGGATTTGCAACATTATTATCTCCCTCACCTTATGAGTCATCATCATCATCACTACATGTAGCCATTATCACCCTTTTCTTGAGATTTCTTGAGATGTCCTTCTTACATGGGCATTCATACTTGTATGTGATGTGGTTTCTTGTAATCATATCAAGTAATCTCTTGCATGCTCTTCTTTAGGCACATCCCTCTTTGTAGGTCTTTTATTTCTAAACTTTTGTTTCATAATTCTATTGAACTTCCTACCTAACATGGCCATATCCTCTTCATGTTTACTCTCATTTTTATGCTTTTTCCCTTTTCCTCTACTATGGATTTAAAGGTTATTCCCTTTTTCTTACTATCCTCCATTTTAGACTCTTTTAACTCACTCTCATGTTTCAATGCCACGTCATAGGTGAGTAAGGATCCTATTAGCTCTTCTCGCTTGAAATTGTTGAGGTTTCTAGCTTCCTCTATAGCCATTATTTTAGGTCTCCAAAATTTAGGTAAGCTATAAAAGATTTTCTTCACAAGTTGGGCATTGGGAAAGTCTTTCCCTAAAGCCTTTAAACCTCTAACTATATTTGTGAATCTCTCAAACATTTTCTTTATAGATTCACCCTCTTTCATGCTAAAGAGCTCATAATCATGTCTAAGCAATCTAATCTTGAATTCATTAACTTGATTTGTTCCCTCATAGATAGTCTTTAAAGTATCCTAAATTAGCTTGATATTTTCACACATTGATACTTTGTTGAATTCACAAGCACTCAGGGAGCAAAGCAGAGTGTTGTATGCTTTGCAATTTATTTGAATCAAGTTTTTATCCTTATCACTCCACTCATGTCTAGTCTTAATAGCTACTTTGCTACCTACTTTCATATAAGGCACATGTGAACCATCTAATATGACATTCCAAAGATCTAATTCCATAGATTGTATAAACATTTCCATACATTTTTTTTGATAGGGATAGTTAGTACCTACAAAGAGAGGTGGCCTTCAGTTTGATTGCCTTTCACCAAGCATGATTGCTATAACCTCCATTTTTGATGATTGGAGCTACTACAACGAATCACT